TTGAAGACGATTAGATAAGAGTTCAATTCTTCTTAATGAAATCAAATGTTAGGGGATTCAAACCATAAAATAGTTTTTAAAAGGGGGTACCGATTATGTTATTGAAGAACATTGACCAAATATATGGATTGTGTATTGGTAAAAGATTAATCATTAAAGAGATGTGAAAGAACATTATCAATGTAATTGATGTTTCGAGAAATCGCGTTGGAGAAAAAGGTTTACATACCCTGAATAAAATTTGGTATCATCTGATAGATTTCTCAATATAATAGTCTTATGTTTTGCTATGACTATAAAGAAAAGTCAATGTCAAACATTGTCCTTTGCTATATTATTTTTAACCAATTCGAGATTTACTCATGGTTAGCTTTATGTTACTGTTTCACGAGTAAAGAAAAAAAGACATGATTAAAAATATTGGTTCTAGATGAAAATAAAAACGCTTACAACGATACAAAAAATGTTGTGTACACTAAAGTCTTTCAAAAAATTTGGAATTAAAAAAGATTTTTTCGAGTACACTTTCAATTTCTCAAATATTATATTCTACTTTGTCATTGTTTTCCATTGATTAAAATTTGTGACAGAAATATATTTACTTGATTTTGGAATAAATATTTCATTGAAAAATTTCAAAATCGAGAACAGTTTCGTTCGACCCCGTGTCACCCATTTAGACAATTATGCATAGTTTTGAAAACCCGAACGGACCGGCAGGAACCGGCCGGTCAAACCGGTCCGACCAGTTTTTTTTGCAATATTTTTCCAAAAGCATACCACCATGGGGGTTTGAACCCAAGATCTTTTAGTCATTTAGTTGAGTTCCTAACCAACTAAGCTAGGGTGCTTTTTGTTACAATTTCACTTAACCTTTTATAATATTTCATAATTAAAAAAGGATTGTATAAAAATTCTTTTTTAGTTATAAAGAATATAATCTTTTAATATAATATTTGAGACTCTGTTTGCTAGAAAGTCTCCAAGTGTCAAACTTATGTGGGCTATGTTAAGTTGAGATGGCAAGCCTTTATTGGTTGTTTATGTGGCAAATTTTATTAATGATGAATTGACCTTTCTTTTCATTTTAAAATAGAAATTTAATAATGATTTCAAATTTTGGAAAAATTTCACGTAAAAAGATTTAGGACAAATAAAGACGTCATTACTTCGTGACATTAGTTGAGTATTTATATTTTTTATTTTTAAAAAGCAATTCATTTATTTATTATGCTGTGATAAAATTAATTATGTTATAAAATCAAATTTGTGAAAGATAAATATAGTATTGTCCAAAATAAAATTATTAAAGGAAAACAATCATATAAAATATAATTTTATGATAGAACTTATTATGATGTAGCAAAAAATAGTGAAAATATAAAATTGGTATTATCACTAACCATTTCTAGACTAGCATTTTTTATGAATCAAAGTTTTAACTAAGTGCATACACAAATTGTAAGGCAAAGTTCACCGTATTTTTTCAACACCAAACTGTAAGGCAAAGCTCACCGTATTTTTTCAACACTTTGAATTTTTTTGAAAAAAATAAAATCAAAAGAAGGGGTGCTGACTAGATTTTGACTATAGAACGCCACCTTTGACCGACCCTGCCGCCGTCGGCCACCGCCGCTGCTGACCGGTGGTTGACCGATGTTGCTATTTTATTTTTAATTAATTTTTTAATTTTCAAAATTTAACAAAAAAGGTGAGTTTTCGTGTTCAAAGTGGTGAGCTTTGCTTTATTTCCAGATGAGCTTTGCATTGTCTATTGGTGAGCTTTGTAGTGTAGTGTGGTGAGCTTGGCGTCATCTCACCGAAGCATGTCATCTCACCGTAAGGTGTCATCTCACTTGAGTGAATCCCATATATATCGGCGACGGCGGTGGTGGTCGGAGTCTGGGGGCGGTGGCTGGACGCCGGCAGTGGCGGCCGGAGTCTGGCGGCGGCGCGGCAGCGGTGGCTGGCGACTGGCAGCGGCGGCTGGCGGCGGTCAATGCTGGCGGTCAACAGTCAAAATCTAGTCAGCACCCCTTCCTTTGATTTTATTTTTTCAAAAAAAATTCAAAGTGTTGAAAAAATATGGTGAGCTTTGCCTTACAGTTTGGTGAGCTTTGTAGTTGTCTTTGGTGAGCTTTGCAGTAGTCAGTGGTAAGCTTTGCGTCATCTGACCGAAGCATGTCATCTCACCATAAAGTGTCATCTCACTGGAGTCAATCCCATATATATGTGTGTGTGTGCGCGCGCCCTTTGTGTGTGTGCGCGCATGCACTTGTGGGTGGGAGTGTGTACATGTGTTGATGTGCATTTGTGCCCGTGTGTGTCTATTTCTTTTCGTGGAGTGGAGGTTGTCGGCTTAGGGCGGGCCGTAACTTTGGTTTGTAATAGGGGTGGGCACGAAAACTGTTCGCGTTGACCCGTTCTGAAACATACCGGAACTGTTTTGAAATTGTACCTTTTTTTTTATTTAAATTTTTTTGTCCCGAACCCGTTCTGTCCCGATTTTAAGTGGGACATTACCGGGATAACATAAAAGTGTACCGTTCCATCCAGCTTGTCCCGTTTTATATACTCTTCTAAAAACATTATATATATATATATATATATATATATATATATAATTTTATATATATATATATATATATATAATTTTATATATATATATATATATATATATATATATATAAACACATATATTACTAATTACTCCGTTTCTAGTAATTGTCTTGTTTTTAAAATTGAAATATTAAGCCCAAAGGCCAAAGCCCCAAAAAATATACCTAGCCCAAGTCCCAACCTTATCTTTCTCTTTAATGTTTTAATTTTGGGTACCGCATAGTAGCGTAATTCATTCTCTGTTAGTCGACGGCGGCTGCTCATCTTCTGCGATTCACACAAAATTCCAATTCTCCGAAGAAATCTTTCATTTTGTGCGAATTTATCAAAGCCAACGAGTGGCAATCAGTCATCAGCTGCAACGCAATTTCGGTCGAAGATGGTGATGATGTTGGCAATTTCGGAACACATCAGGTAACAAGTTTTTATGTTTTGGGAGTTTTTGAACTTTTTGTCCACTTGTAGTAATTAACAGTGCTAGTATTTAAAGTCTTCATATTTTTTTTCTTAAAATTTTGCAGTGATTCAATGGGATCTTTGCTCTTTTTTTGGTGGATTTTAATGTTATCAAGTTTTTTTGGTCAACATGGAATATGAATGCTGCAGCCTGGATTCACTGGAAGACACTTTTGTTTTATGTATAAGCATTCACTGGAAGACACTTGTTTTATGTATAAGCATTCACTGGAAGACACTTTTGTTTTATGTATAAGTATGCTAGATCCATTCTAATTACTACTGTTTTAAGCATGTGTGGAGTAACTTATTGTACTTAATAATTAATACTTGTTGACATTCTTGTAGCATTTATTTTCAATCATTTTGTTTACAATTTTCATTATTGTCCGAAAATTAGGAATAAGTAGGACAATCCGAAACCGTTCCGTTTTATCCCGGTCTCGAAAATTATGGGATAAAGTGGGATAGGCTTGTGGTTCAAACCGTTCCGAACCGTTTGAATATAACGGGACAGGACGTGCGATTGTAAGAAACCCGAATCGTCCTGACCCATGCCCACCCCTAGTTTGTAAGGACTATGTATTTCAAAGAGACTGGAAACACGTTTCTTTCATTCTTCTGTACTTTTCTTAAACATCGGGGTTTGTCGGAAAGAGTCGCTCTATGTTTTAAACATAGGAGTCAGGCTGCGTTTGTGATTACCCGTGATACTTGAGCCGGAGGTCTCTCTACAAACTACTCTCAACTATAGAGTAGGGGTAATATCTGTGTACACACTCTCTCTCGAGACCCTACTTTCGTGGCATTCAACAAGATTTTTGTTGTTCCATAACTTTTTTAAATTTTTTTTTATTTAATTTGCCATCTAGAAAAGTTTCTCTTTTCATGAAAGAATTATGTGGTTTATATTGATAGATCTTTTATAAATAAAGCCAAATTCATTAATCATTACCTACAAAAACAATGTAGAAATTAGATAGTAGAACATTACCACTATGTTTGGTTCAAGGAATTTGAGAGGGAAAAGAAAAGAAAATGAGAAGGAAAACATTTTTTCTTGTTTGGTTAGAGAGGAAAAGAAAAGAAAAGTGGAAGGAAAAGAAAATGAGAAAGCAAAATGTATTAAGAGGATGAAAAACCAAATTCCTCCCATTTTGGCGAGGAAACTAATGGAAAACCATTTTCTTTTCTTTTCCTTCCAAATTCCATGAACCAAACATAGTGTACAGAAGGTAGGACCAAACTTCATATAGAGGGTAAATGTTATTGGTGTTTACACTAGAGCCTTTTGAAAAAAGAAAAAGAGAAAAAAAAACAGTTAGGCTCCGTTTGATATACGGAATTCAAACTATGGAATTGAAATTGGAGATAATAATTTCGATTCCGTTGTTTGGTAACACAAAAATATATGGATTTGAAAATGGTAGTGCCAAATATGAATTGCAGTTGGAGGATTCAATTCCATCCAAATCAATTCAATAGAATTTCAACTCTCAATTCAATTCCAATTCCGTCAATTCCGTGTACCAAACGGATCCTTAAAGCTTTTTCATCAGTTGGCTTTCCCAGGCTCAATTGCTTCAAGCCATGAAACAACTTCAAAAATGGTGGGTCTCTGCCTTGGTTCCTGATCTACACATTTACATGCTATACTTAGCACCTCCAAAAGTTGCTTCTCATTGTCTTTATGCAATATAGATGGATCAAATATTTCCTCCTCCCGCCTCTCGGATTTCATCTGAAACACCAATGGCACCAAGTTTCTGCAATTCTTTCCTTTGCATACTTCCACAGGTCGCTTACCAGTAATAAGCTCAAGGAGAACAACACCATAGCTATAAACATCACCCCTAAAAGTCGCTGTCAATGTTTGACTATATTCTGGAGGAATGTACCCCAGCGTTCCAACTAGATCAGTTGTGACGTGGGTATCGTAGGGGCACAACAGCCTTGCAAGCCCAAAATCAGCTAGATGGGCATCGAATCTTTCATCCAGAAGAATGTTGCTGGTTTTAATGTCACGGTGAATTATGTTTGGCTCCTTGTGCAAATAGGACAGTCCCCGAGCAGCCCCTAATGCAATCTTAAGTCTAGTGTTCCACATTAAGCTTGGACTACCATCCACCCTCTCATGTAACCAATAATCCAAACTTCCATTCTCCATGTAAGAGTATATCAGCAGCCTATCACTCCCGTAACTGCAATATCCTTGAAGGGCGACAAGGTTTTCATGCTGAGCTCTTGACAGGGCTTCCACTTCAGCATGGAATTCGCGTTCCAACTGGCAAGAATCCCCAGAAAGCTTCTTGATTGCCACTTTGCTGCCATTGGGCAAATCAACTTTGTAGACAAGACCAAATCCTCCACAGCCAATAATGTTCGACTGGCTGAAGTCGTTTGTTGATCTTAGCAAGTCTGCCACTGTGATGTCATTGCAATATGAGTTCTTGAAAAGAACAAGATTGGATGGGCAAAATGCATCAGACAATCTGGATGATATGCCCACCTCCTCCTCTGACTCTTCAATTTGGTCACTGCTATTTCTTCTAGACAGCCTTAGCAGCACAAGGGAAAGAAGAATTACAAAACCAATTGTTACACTAATTGTAATTTCAATAATACCGCTTCGGCCCAGCCTGTTATTTGAATAGGAGGGGAGAGGAGCTGGTTGAAGGGGTCCACCATTGGCAGCACAGGGATAAACAATCTTTCCACAAAGCCCGGGGTTCCCCCCAAAGCTTGAGCTGGGAAAGCTAAAAAACTGACCTCCAGTAGGAATTGCACCCAGCAAGTGATTGTTAGCAACACTGAACTTTGAGAGGAAAGTAAGCCTGTCCAGTGAAGGTGGAATGGACCCGTAGAGTTCATTGTTAGATAAATCTAAAACCTCCAGATTCAGCATATTTGAGATGGAGCCGGGAATAGTCCCAGATATGTTGTTCCTGCTCAAATCTAAGACATGGAGTTGTCTCAGTTGTCCAATATCTGGCGGAATCGTCCCACTTATTCTGTTATTGCTCAGATAGATCGCTTGAGGAAAGCTTGATGCTTGGTTGTATTGCAAACCATTCCCGCTCTGGTTTCGCTTTATGAACAATGGAATGCCACTTGAAGCATTGAGACTGAATAAATAGCTAACAGAAGAAGTGAGGCTCTTTAGCTCTGTCAAACTCCTTGGGATTTCACCCGTGAGCGAATTGTTTGAAAAATCAATGTAAAACAAATTTTCCATTTTGCCAATCCAAAAAGGAATGCTCCCATCCAACTGATTCCAAGACAAGTCAAGGACTTGCAATTTGGTGCAATTGGATAACCATGCAGGGATTTGACCGCGCAGGTGACAGTTCCCTATAGCAAAAGTCATCAGGTTCTCAAATCCGATCACATTCTTGGGAATTTCTTCACCATGGAAGTTTCTGGTGAGGATAAGGGTGGAAAGCTTCTGACAATGCTGCAGAACAAGTAAAGCACCCGAAAGATTTTCGAAACTGTTATTTGATAATGTGAGGAACACAAGAGACGAGAGGTTAGCGTAACTCTCAGGGATTGAACTCCTTAACATGTTCTTGGCAAGACTTAAAATTTGCAATTGCTTGCAACTTGAGAGAGACCTAGGAAGAGGACCGGAAAATTTGTTGCTTGCAAGATCAAGAGCAGTGAGATTGGACAATCTGGTGAAATCAATATCAATGGGGCCAAACAAAGAATTGTTCCTAAGATCAAGTACTTGTAGGGTAGAGCAAAGTGCCAGAGTATATGGCAATAGCCCTGAGAACTTATTGGAATTTGCATCCAAAACTTCTAATTGGGTAAAATTCCCAAACACGTCAGGAAGAACACCCGAAAAGTGGTTCCTAGATAAAATCAGAGACTTGAGATTGGAAAGCTTACTGAGATTTGCGCTTAACTGACCAGAGAAGTAATTGGCAGAGAGTGAAAGGCTCTCCAATGATGAGATTAAGTACAAAGAGTCAGGAAGTTGTCCTGAGAGAAGATTGGAATCCAAATTCAGCTCCAAGAGGGGGAAGCCGCACTCAATCAAAACATCAAGCCCTCCTTCGAAACTGTTTCTAGAGAAATCCAAGATTCTAAGCTTCTTAGAGATGCTGCAAAAGCGGCGAGAGCCCAGAGCACCCGAAAATGAATTGTTGCTTACATTGAGCACAACAAGATTCTGAAACCCACCGAAATCAGCAAAGTCTCCAGTGAACAAATTGCTGGATAGGTTGAGTGCGTGGAGTGATTGTAGCCCATTGAGTGCCCCAAGCACTGACCCATTAAAGGAGTTGTGGCTCAAATCAAGAACTCTCAGCTGCTTCAATTTTGACAAGTCCAAGGGAAACTCACCTTGAAGATGATTGTGGGAGAGATCAAGAAACCTTAAGTTATCCAAGTTTTCTAGGGAAAGGGAAATTGCCCCTTGCAATCCTTTCCCAGATAAACTCAAACTGATCACTCTCATGCCTTCACCTTCACATCCAACACCATCCCATATGCAGCAATTAACTGCACCAGACCATGTGGAGAGAATGGACCCTTTGGTCAAGTTGCCAGCAAATTGCCTCAAGGCGTGTAAATCAGATGGATGGCAACTCTGGTTTGGGGTTTGAAGACCTAAAGATGAACAAAAGAGGCAAATCAGAATCACCCAATTGAATAGACTCATTGGGTAAAATTTTCAGGCCACCACTTGTGACATTCCAAGAAACACAAACATGGAGAAGACCATTAAGTCAACTCTCACTCAGATCCGTAGAGCCCATTTTTTAACATGAATGATTGTTCGCAACACGCTCATTTCATATCAAGAAAAGACATGGTTTTGGGTGTCGTCCTTTAGCAAAGAGCAGATTAAGATTTCAAATCAGAAATACAGTTGGGATAAAGCCTAAAGAAGGAAAGAAGCAGAACCCTTCACCGCTGCAAAGAAAACAGAAGGGTCTGACGTATATATTTAGAAAATCTGACACACTAATCTGAACGGTGACATAAAGAGCTGACTTTTATTTCCTTGTACTATTATCACCATTGTGTTTTTTGTTTACTTCTTTAAAAGGACCATGCTACACTTACACCAACAAATATACTTCATTTGTACATCACAGGTTTGCATAAACATTTCGATGGTTTACACCGATACAAGTGTTAGTGCGTTAATAAAAATTCACACGGACATAAATGTTGGTGCGTTTAACAAAAATTAGTTTTACACCAACACAAAATATTGGTGCAAAACTGTGGAGTACAAATTGAAGTACAAATCTTGGGGTACACATAGCATAATCCTCTTTAAAATGGTCGAGACCCGAAGGTCAAACCTCAAATCTTGTTTATTTATTTTCCCATTCTTTTTTAACAATTAGTCCGCTTTTGGAGTTTAATATTTGAGCAATAATATACCTTAAAATATATTAGAAAAAAATTATTAAAAATAATACATTAAAAGTATTTTTAAATACCAATAATTTGATAAAATTTTATATTTTAATTAGTTGTATATTTTTATATATAGTTAGTCAAACATTTGACATGCAAAGTAAAACTACACAGTTAAAAAGTAAACGCGGGAGTAGCTACAAAAAATCTACTCGCATTTTTAAGTCCCTCCGTTTGAATTAATTGTACTCGCTTGACTTAATGCAACTTAAGAAAAATGTAGTTGAAATTGATTACAGAAAAGATAATGATTGTGAAATAAAAATTCTTTTATTGATTAGGAAAGTAAAAAAATTAGATAATTATTTTTGGACAGACTGAAAAGGAATCTGAAACAATTATTTTAGAACAGAGGGAGTATAAGATTAAAACACACACCTTATCCTAAAATAAAAGTATCATGATTTTGTTCTAAAAAAAGAATCTAAATTGTTTTAAAATTTAAAAAAAATAAGGAGGTACATATAGTGCATACCTGTGTAACTATAGAGGCGTGAAGCTGATCATTGACAAGCTATGACAACAGGTCTTTTCCCAATCAGTGCCATTTTTGAAAAACCATTTCTAAATAGAGAGAGTGGTGTTTAACAATACTCGGCTATCTAACATAGGGCATGATGGTAGAGGTTGTGTCATTAAATATAATTATTTTCTTGTATTAACGGTTGTAACATGCCAACCTGCGTAACCTGGATAAATGGATTAGCGAACCAGATTACCACACAATTGGTATCCACATCACCTCATTTACAAGTTATTTAAAACAAAATCATTCATAATTTAAAACACGTCTCTTATCAAAGTAATAAATCATACATTGCGCGAGCCTTCAAAAAAAATTCACCGAAATGTTCTTATTATTTAAAGTGTAAATTCCATAGATAGTCTCTAGTTAAAGATGGTTTTCCATATTTAGTCTCTAATCGGTCTTTCACGGGCTATTTTTAGAAAAAGTATTCTCTCATATTTGGCCTAAAAGACTACTTGTGGAATAATTTTTCAAAATTGAGGATCATTTATGGAATATTCAAAAATTAAGAATTAAATATGAAAACCCGCCCGTAATTGGAGACCATTTATAGGATTTGCTCTAATTTAAATAAATAAGTTCAATTGAATAATTACTTTAACATAAATAAGCTTTAGACCATCCATGTCGTCTAGCATCACTAACCACCAAGCAATTCATCCAACCTCTACTTATTCCTACCTATGTGTAGCTAAAAACAACAAGGATTACACGCTGAGCTGAAAACTGAGTGAAAATATATCTAACACTCGGATCAACTTACATGGTAGTACAGCAAACATATACAATCATACATTATCATACAGATAAAGTACATAAACATATCACATCATTAACAACTAGTATCACACCCATGCGTTGCACATGTCATTTTTATGTTATTAAATTCAAATCATTTTTCAATGATAAAAATGAGATGCAATAGAATATAGAGATTATGTTATTTTAAGGGAAGAAACGTCAATGCTTTACAAATTTCGAAAGACTTCTTTATAGACTACATTATTTGTACAATTTGTGGAAATATTATTTTCATTGCATATCAGAATCCTCAACCCGGTCTGTACAATAAGTTGGAAGTATTTCTTACTTCTACCATGCAGTCTCAATTATAAAGCATTTGAAAGCTAATAAAAAAATCATAATAATCGTGACCGACGACAGTCTTAGCTCTGATGGATATAGGCGGTGCGATATATCTGCAAGGCGGGAGAGATAGAGGCGGCACTCTGTGTGTAATTGTATAGTAAAATTTGGTAAGAATAAAATAATTATTCTTACCATAATTATTTTTTATATGAGATTTAATGTATAATTGTATAACTTTCCTTTTTTAATTACTTCGAATTTTCTAAATCTTAGGCTTTGCAATCGTTTAACTTACCTTTATTTAAAACTTACGATTTGGAATTGTATAATAGACAATAGGCTAATACCTTATTTAAAACTTACATTAATAATGTATGTCAGGTTTTAATTTTAAATACGTTGATTACTATAAATATAATAATTATATTTATAATTAAGTCACACTCCATATAAATAGCATCACCAAATTCCTTTTTATATTTTATAAAAAACGAAATTACCTTTATTTAAAACTTGTTAGATTTTAATTTTTAATACGTTAATTACTATAAATATAACAGTTCGTTTATTATCGCTTTTAAAATTGTTAATACCGGGTGATAAAACTGTTCGTTTATTATAGATTTTAAACCATTATATTAGATTAATTTTTTAGCTTAATAATAATAATTATATTTTAGATTAATAATTAATTACCAATTATAAACGGTGTCATATTATTTGTTCCTTTTTTTAAAATGATTACGTGTTAATATTGGTTATTACCGTGTGATAAAAAGGAAGAGTATATATTATAGGTTTTAAACCATTTTTTAGAATAATAATAATTATTATTTGTAATAATTAACTTGCCATTTGTAAATGTATTAATGCATGGAGACTTAAGCACATGCGCAGGTTTTTAATAATAATTATTATATTTTCGGCAACTTACCATTTTAAGTGTACAATTGTCATTTGTTAATGTAATAAAAATTACCATTTTAAGTGACCAAATGCCATTTTTTGAACATTTAATAACGCAAGGAAAATTAAGCACAGGCGTAAATAGGAAATATTTATTATTATATTTTCGGCAACTTACCATTTTAAGTGAACAATTGTCATTTGTTAATGTAATAAAAATTACCATTTTAAGTGAACAATTGTCATTTTTTGAACATTTAATAACGCAAGGAAAATTAAGCACATGCGTAAATAGGAAATATTTATTATTATATTTTCGGCAGCTTATCATTTTAAGTGAACAATTGCCATTTGTTAATGTAATACCGTATGGGCGGGAAAAACAAATGTTGACTCAATGACTTTTTAAATAAAGTATGGATAATCAAGATTCATTTAAATAACGTATTGCCATTTGGATGTTTGACTTAGTCTTATAGTCAATGACAGAGTGTTCGCATCCGCACATGGGCAGATATTATCTAGAGATAATAGGATGCCGGACTGACCCACCCTAAAGATGTTTCTTGAACTTTTAGTTCATGCTCTAAGCATATTTAGCGCGACCACGAATGTAACTATCCTTCGACTTGAAATATTACGTTCTCTATATATGTGAACCCATATGCTTTAATGCATTTTTCTAAGCCATATAAAATAAGGATGGTATACAGGCTTTGTCTTAGGTATGCCGCAACGTATATTCAGAAACGTAGATTACGTACATAGGATTTGTCACTACTCTTTTTAAGAGATTAATGTCTTCTATGGCCCACTGGTAAGTTATGACTGAGGAAATTTCAAGAACATGTTGAGATGCCTTTATGACGTCTATTCATATCAGTCATACTTGATAAATCAGTTAATGGCTTAATGGATACAAGCTGGATTTTATAATCCTTGCATTAAATGTAGACATTGAAACAAATGGATACAATTACATAGAGTCTGAGTCGTGGAAAGGTTTTGACGGTGCAAATGTCTTAACTTATAATTAGCGATCAATAAAGTGTTGCTAGATACCGCTTATTGCTTATAGTATTGGTGTAGAGGTCATGCTTTGACCAACTTTATAAGTGCCTATACGGGTCACACACTTTGGACAATATAAGGAGTAGGATTAAACAATGAGATAATAACTAATTTGTATATTTGTAAAATAGTAAAATAAAATATTTTGTAATATAATATTATATATATAAAATTCGGTTATACACACACTGATATATATATATATATATATATATATATATATATATATATATATCTGTGTGTGTGTGTGTGCCGAAGTGTATATATATTATATATTAAATATTTTATTTTGGTTTGTCATTTTAATTATGAAAATAATTATTTTGACATAAAATTGTTATTCGGTTTAGTCGTTGTGCCCACGCCTTAGATGGGGGGGGTGAATAATGCGTTTAAAATCTTTTTGGAGTTTGATAAAAACGGTGTTGGCAAATGCGGAAGTAATATATAAAACGCAGAAATAAAAGCGTAAATAAAATGCACACCGATTTTATACTGGTTCGGGAAACCCCTACTCCAGTACCTCGAGGCTCCTCCTCAAGGATTTCCAAATCCACTAAGTCCCGGCCTCTTGAACTCCGTCAAAGCACCGCACTGGTTTTGGCAAACAACCCTTGCCAATAGGATTCACTCCGAGATTTCACAACGGCTATCTCGAACCGTTTACAATGAAGATTTAACGGCTATCTTCTACCNTAACTAGAAACACAAGCTCAAAGTGTGTGTATAAAAATCAGGAATTTAAGGCTCTTAAAATAGCCAAAATATTGAAAATAATTAATAAAAGGATGAACACACTTAGAATAAAAAGAGAGGATGTTTAGAGCTTTTTTTTTTTGAAGAAATATGAAGGATTAGGCTTGTATTTATAGTGGAAGATGTTAATTAGCCGTTGGGAGGTGATTAGGGTTGATTTATTTCAAATTGGCAATTTTGCTACAGTGCTGTAACGGATCTGGTACCCTTCACAGTAGGGGGGTCCATGTCATACGGTACCTAGGTACCGTGACACGGTACGGCCTACGTGTGGGGGTACCGTATAGGCCAAAATAAGTTTTCGCCTCTCGCGGTACCGGGTTAGGACGGGGTGGCCTACCGTCTGTGCCTACCGTACGGTACCTAGGTACCGTTACACGGTATGGGGGTACCGTGTAGGCGGTATACCCTACCGTTTGGGGTACCGTGCCACTGTCCTGCTTTTTCCAAAATTCCCGTAATCCTTCGCGTTTGAGTTTAAAACCTTTTGGATATTTTGAAAATGTTTATGGGATGGTTTTAAACATATTTTGTGAGTGCTTTTGAGCTTGTGAATATAGGTATATAAAGTCATATCCTTACATTGGTTTCTACCTATATTCTACGCTAGTGTAGTGTTTCGACTTCATTCTTGAGTACCGAATCTTAATGGATTCTTGTTGTACCTGAAACACTTAAACAAATGTCAAACTCTTATATTGTTTGTTAACATCAAAACATGAGACTTAGCAAACCAAGGCTAACAATCTCCCCCTTTTTGATGTTGACAAACAATATACTTCAAAGCGAGTTAGGCAGGAGTATAAAAATGAAGAAAGCGAGCTCCCCCTAAGAATAAGCATATTTAAAATACTCACTTTCAATTTTTTCTTGTGTTTATTAAAAGTATAAGTTTGATGCAAATAGTTTCACAAGAATGCACTCAAGTCAAGTTGCATATGCACCACTTTGAAGTATACATCTTCTCCCCCTTTTGTCAAAATCAAAAAAAGGTATTTTGAAAATTTTAACTATGTATAACTTCTTGAAACCCTCCCCCTATCAAAATGAATTTTTTTAGGAAAAATGATAGTTTTGAGATCATTGGGCAAAAGGTGCATTTACAACGAAACTCCCTCTAAAAATGAAAACTCCCCCTAAAATGATGCAAGTTTAAAAACTTTATTTTGTTATGTACAAATGTCTTTTGATGTTCTCCATGTCTAAGTCAGACCTTTGCTTTTCTCATTTGTAAGCCTATAAATAGAGGCTCCATATGTTGAAATGAGACATCCTTCTCCTTAGTCTATTGATCTCATTGAATTGCATTGCTTCTCCTTTGATTCTCCATTACACTTTGATCTTTGATTTGTGCTATCAAGGTATATCTCTATCACTTGTTCATAACGATATTCGTATTATCTTTATTTCTAACACGTTATCAGCACGATAGCAAAAAATTCTAATTTGATAGAAATTACTCCCCTTCATCTTTTGTCCTTATTGATATTCATGTTATAGATATATACATATACATATACACTACTTATTTATTTTAGTTTTTTAGTGAACTTGAAGATATATTGAATCTAAAGATCGATCCTAAATATATTAGACAATTGGCATGTGAAGCCTACATTATGTGTTAAAATTGAAGGTTATATGATAAAACTCAACCTAAAGTTTGAGTACATATTATGTTGAAAAAAATTTCATTTCTTTAGTTTTTTTTAGCTAGTGAACTTGAAGTTCATATTCTGATTTCATATACTCGAAGCATCAACAGTGAAATTCAAACATGAAGATTTGAGTATGCCACATGAATAAATAGGTGACATTATTATTTACTATGCAACAAAGAAATAATAATAATAATAATAGTAATATTAATATTATAGACTTATTATTTGTGATTATGTAATGTGCTCTAATTTATCATTATGTCCATAGTTTTGCTCTAATTGTAACCTCCGCTATAATAATAATAATGATGATGATGATGATAATAATAATAATAATAATGCATAATAAATAATAATAATAATTGAGACCCTTCAAGTACCTAAGCCGTTTTTAAATAAAAAAACCCTATTATTCAATCAATACACATTAACTTATTTATTTTCACAATAATAAAAAAGAGTCAACATGTTCATCAAAACACAATATATGGGTATATGAGATACTACCTAAGGTCTTATAATATTCAATTACCACCTGAAGTGGCTGATTTTTAGTATAAAAAAATCTCATTAAAAGAGACGTTTTGATATTTCAAGACCTTTGTTCTAATCTATATATGATTCCTCATCGATGTTTCTAAAGAATGATGTAGTTAATATATTATAATCAAAGGAGTGATTATACATATTATTTTTTTAGATGTAAGAGCTTATTTTCTCTTGTGATAAAAGAAGATAGTGTGGATATAATTTTCTTTTTATACAAAACTGATAGATAGCTTCAGAAGAGCATTGCATAATAAGAGCTGCATAATAGAAGTAATAAAAGTCTCATAAATATTGAATATTTTGAGATGATAGTTATTGTCCTGCATTGACGAATATTCTATTGGGTATAAACAAATCCTTATTGTTTAAGGTGTCTCTATTATTGTTTAAGATACCAGCGGAAATGAATATTACATGACACTTGATCGAGATTCGTTTTCACGTAAACCAAAAG